GGCACCTAAAACTTAAACTTTCTTCGCAATCTGACAGCATCCACTGTCACCACCAGACAAAGTGCTACCATAATCAAACAGAGGAAGTCCTTATTTGTCATGTTCCAGACAAATGGTTCCTTGATTAATTCAATTGAACCAATTCAAAGAGACTCCATGTCTGCTGTGAAATTTCCCCTTTTTAATTTGCTGCTTGATGGATCAATAATCTACAAAATTGTGATATTATTAAAATCATACTCAAATCCTTCCCACCAGACAAATGCTTTGTCAACATAGCTATGCATATAAAAGGAAGCAGAAGCATCAAACATAGAAAAGATAAAAAAGGAAATGAATTACTGTTAGAGCATTGGTGCCATTACCGTCTTGTTTGTCATCATAATTTTCTTTGCCACCGCCATCTGTGTTTTTCATCTCCCTGACGTGTTGGTTTTAGAGGGCACCAACATAAAGCGTAATGAACCAATTAAAAGAGACTCCATATCTGCTGTGGAATTTCCCCAATTATTTGTTGCTTGATAGATCAATAATCCTCAAAAATGTGATATTATTAAAATCATACTCAAATCCTTTCCACCAGACAAATGCTTTGTGAGCATAGCTATGCGCATAAAAAGAAGCAGAAGCGTCAAACATAGAAAGATAAAAAGGGAAACGAATTACTGTAAGAGCATTGGTGCCATTACTGACTTGTTTGTCATCATAATTTTCTTCGCCACTGCAATCTATGCGTTTTTCATCTCCCTGACATGTTGGTTTTAGAGGGCACCTACATAGAATTGCCATCAAATGCAGATGCATCAAATATACAAAGGGAAATGAATTACTGTTAGAGCATTGGTGCATTGTCTTGCCTGCTCTCCGTTAATAACAGAAGTTGGTCAGAATTAAATGAATCAAAGTTATCTTTTTGCATAAATGAATCACGTTATTAGGTTAAAGCAAACATCAAAATAGTATTAGAAGACTGGTGCATCCATTTATAGATGTTGTTTGCAGGAAATGCTCCAAACAATGACTTACCTTTGGTTATAAGCAGCAACCCCCCAAATCAAAAACCTAACAGAAAAAATATATATAAATCAAAGCCCATTTTATAGTACCGTAACTTGCACTTGTTAATGACTTAATGGTAGTATAACTGCTACACCTAGCACCAAAAAAGGTTGCTCTGTGCAAAAGAAATGGAGGGGGGGAAAAAAAACTCATGACAGGCAGAAATAAATTGCTTGCATTGTTGTTTCCATTGAAATATTAAACTCAAAAATAAACAGAAGCAGCAAGTACCCGCCACACAGATAAAACAAGAGTTTACCTTTGATGCGAACCTAGCAGCCATTTTAACTCAAAAACCTGAAGACGAGTTGAAAAGCCAAGAGTTTATTAAAATTATTCTCAAAAAACAGAACCAACCATCTATCTAGTTTTGTGATGAAGAAACAGGGGAAGTGAGAACGAGAAATTACCTGCTTCAGTGGCGACACGAATTGCCGGCCCTTCATTTACGGTAATTTTGTGAAGAAACACGAAAAGGCTCGTTTGTGCGGAGGAACGGAGGAAGTCGGTGGCGTGGTGGCGATTGCCTGGACGTTTTTAATTCTACCGTACATCTCTTCACCATTTGATTAATTAAAGATAATATTTTTAAATTAACATAAAAACTATAAATTAGAGCACGCCTGCTTCTCTCCAGATCATCTAAATTTGAAAACTTTTCTAAGATAAGCACATTGGGAATTCAATTAATAATGGAAAATGAAAACATCAAACCTAGATAAATTACACACTACTGAATCCATGTTGCATAGCAGTTTCCAGCAAATTTTTGCAGAATGGGTGATAGAAAAGAAAAGCACAAACCGTGTAATTTAAACAGACCTTACAACCAAACACACAGAAAATTAAAAAAAGAAACAATGCCCTGCTCAGTTTGGACTTATTGATGTGGAAAGAGGAGAAGACATGCTGGAAGTTCACTTTGCAACTCGAGTGATGAAGCACCTTGAACCTGAAAAACAATAAAGGGTTATTCCTTTTATAATCAAAGTAATGAAGATGTTACACAAACTTAGCATAAATGTGGACCGACCTTTACCGGCCTCTAGGAAGAGACAGATCTCTCAAACAACTTCAACTTTCTTCCTAATCTGGACACATGCTCTCTCAGCCGCAAACCAACCGCTGCTACAAGTAAATAAAGGCAGTCCTTCAAGTTTCTGAGGCGGACCCTCAAGTTGTTGTAAAACAGGATGCAGATATGTTTCCATGGATGATCGAACTTCACAGCCACAACTCCCACAAAGCCGATGGCCGCTCCAAGTTCCATACCCGATTTAAATGATTTCCAAAATTCAGCTCTGTCTTCTTGATTGTCTTTGCCACCACTATCTGTTGGTTTGCTCTTTGATTTTTCATCTCCCGGGCAAGTTGGTGTCAGAGGAAGCCCACAGAGTGAAGGATTACCAACAAATGCAGAAGCATCAAATGTCTGTATTTGTGCTCCCAATGGGATTCTCCCTGAAAAGTTGTTGTATGACAGATTCAAAGTGCTGAGGAAATTTAATTGGGACATGCTCCAAGGAAGATGACCTGAAAGCTGGTTCTGTGACAGATCGAGTGATTCTAACTGTTTCATCTGCCCAATATCTGCAGGAATCCTTCCTATCAACTGATTTCTTGATAAGTTCAATTGAACCAGTTCGAAGAGAATCGATACATGCACTGGAATCCCTCCTGTTAATTTGTTGCTTGAAAGATCGATGATCCTCAGATTCTTGAGATTTCCATTCCAATAATCACGCTCCAGTCCTTTCCATATTACAGATGATTTGTCAGCATAACTTCCTGAATAATATCCACCAGCTTTAAGATATGAATCTGCAAAACTATGATCACGGGCTGAACTCTCCTTTTGAGCTAATGCAGTAAGATTCTGGAGGCACCATGGTATGCTTCCAGATAGATTGTTGTTGGAGAGGTCTAGCAGCATAATATTTCTCAACCAGCATAGCTGCAAGGGGATGTCTCCACTGAAATTATTGGATCTTAGAAGAAGGAAAGTTAGTGAACTTAGCCTTTCTCCAATCCAAGCTGGTATTATTCCAGAGAAGCTATTATCACTTAAGTCCAAAAATTGCAAGGCACTGCAATTGGCTAGAGACGAAGGTATTTCTCCAGAGAAATTGTTGTTTTGCAAACTTAGTGATTCAAGGAGAGACATAGATCCAATAGAGCTTGGAATTTTCCCAAATAAATGATTATTAGCCAAATTCAGAATCACTAGACTTGTCCATTGTGTCATGCAATCAGGAAGCTTTCCAAATAGTTGATTGTTTGAAACATCAACGAAGCTAAGCTTCCCACCAGTTATAGTACAGAGAGAAGAAATTGATCCGGAAAACATATTTTCTGATAGGATTATGGATGTGAGATTATGAGGGAATACTGGCAATGGACCCTCCAACTTATTTTTACTCAAATCTATTCCAATGCCGAAGGAACCAGAAAATTTTGTTGACAAATTTGACAAAATTCCATAGATTTGGTTGGAAGAAAGATTCACATGAAATGCTGTAGAAGATAGATTCCAAAACCATTTTGGGATGCTATCTAAAATCCCACTACTAGAGATATCAAGATAAGAGAACTCTCTCTGGGTCTTTAACCAGCTTGGAAACTTTGGGCCCAACTTGCAGGACGTCAAAATTATATAATCCAATTGGAATGGAGGAATCCAGTCACAACTAAAGTTGATGCTCAGATGATTAAAAGACATGTCCAAGTACCGTAACTTACTTAGTGTTGAGAAGTGTGCCTCAGTGATCACCCCATTAAAAGAATTGGAAAACATTTCTAACTGCACAAGCTTTGATAGGAGCCCAATACTTTTGGGCAGAGCACCGCTTAGTTGATTGTTGTTAAGAGACAACCATTGTAGTGACGAGAAGTTTTTTATCACATTAGGCAAGGGTCCCTTAATTTTATTTCCATCCAAAACAAGATATTCCAAGGAGAGTTGTAGACATCCAGAAAAGTTACCAATGAGTTCAGAAAGCATTTGGTCAAGATTGTTATGAGACAGGTCTAGGTACCTTAATTTGCACAAGTTCCCAAAGGATTTTGGAATCTCTCCTTCAAACTGGTTGTCACTGAGATCTAGGGTTTCCAAATAAGTCATGTGACCGAGAGATTCTGGAATCAAACCTTGAAACTGATTACCAGACAAGTAGAGATCAACAAGGCTCTTGTTGAATTTGGACAACAACCATTGGAATGTGGAAGCAGTCAGATTATTAAAGCTTAGGTCAAGGTAAGCGAGAAAAGTAGATGTATTAATCATGGGGATAGATAGAGGAATGATCACATCACGAAGATTACGTTCATTCAGAGACAACTCGGTTAGACGAGAGAGCTTAATTACCTGTAGCCAGTAATTGTCGACCATATTAAGGTCCCTTTTGCTCAAATCAAGGTATTGCAAGCAAGAAAAAAGAGAGAGCCACTCAAGATTTTCAATGTTGAATTTGTTACCACTAAGATCAAGATGCTTCAGACTTGTGAGGTTGCCAAGCTGAGTAGGAAGAAATCCACCCAAATTACAATATCGTAAATCAAGATATTGTATTTTGTTCAGTGAAGTGATAGACTCTAAAATGCGACCTAAGTTGAAATCATTCCAACTGAGGTTTAAATAAGTTAAATGCTGCAACTCAAACAGGGAAGCACTAAGGTTACCTCTCGAGTAAAGACCATGAAATCCTAGATCAAGTGCAATGACATGCCCAGTTGTGTTGCTACATTGAACTCCTTCCCATTCGCAGCACTCTTTTTTCTCTTCTTCACTGCCCCATGAGGAAAGCCTGTCAGATTTGTCAACCAGACCTTGCTTAAATGCGAGAAGCGCTTGTCTTTCCCTCTCTATGCACCTAACTTCATCACCAGCCATTGTTGAATAGAATCCCATGGAAGTTTGAATACGCAGTAAAATCAGAAGTGCAAAGAGAATTTGAAGGAACCTTCCACCCAGAATCTTCATTTTTGGAAATGATGAGAATGAAATCAAAGATAGAGAGAGTGTGTGAAGGAAAATATGATGGACCTGTAAGATTTTTGCAATGTTTGATGAGTTCTCAGAACCATTCTACCTAGCTACTTATATATAACCGCAACCAAACATAATAAAGGTTGTAAAAGTGAACATCAAAGAAGATTAGAAAAGAAGAAGAAGAAGGAAACGTACATTGACTAAAGGGCAGAAGATTAATGGCAGTAAGACGGCGGTTTGGAAATTTTGAACACAAAGGTACAGTGGGCCAGATGGTTTGATCCTAGAATTCTGCAATGAGCAATGCAAGGGGCACTCGCCCCCTGCACTCTCCGGCCAACACTTTCTCTTTTATTGGGCCACGTTATTTTGGTTTCGAGAGTTTGCGCCTGAAAGCTTTAAAGAAGCTTACGCGGCCCAATGAAAGGGGAAGTGTTGGCCGGAGAGTGCAAAGAGCGATTGCCCCTAGTACTACTCATTCTGCAATAAAACTCATCAGCAGGGTGGAACAGACGTGTGGTAATGGACACCAACTTAAGATCATTAAACGGCTGCAGATTGTTTTGCTAAGCTAGGTGCCAACTTTGACTTGGACTATGTATTGTATAATGAGAGTCCTAGTGAACTCTCCTATACCTTATTTTGTAACTGTATTGGAACGGTTGGTCGTAGTTCTGTTGTAGCTGCTTAATATCTAATCTATCTTTTTTTACCAAAAAAAATACTTATGATCATTCAAATTTTATTTTATTTAATTAATATTTGTAGTTTTTTTGAATAAATAATTATGATATTTAAAAGAGAAAAGTATTTTGTAAGTTATTTTTTAAATTTTTTTAAGAAAAAATATATAAAAATTTATCTTTTAATTAATATTTTAATAACTAATTCATTAATTATAAAAAAATTTAATACCATTAAATAATAAATATTAATTATTAACTATTTTTAATAATTAAATCAAACAAAATTAATATTTTATTAACACAATTTAAATAAGCTAAAAAAAAAAATTTATAACCATAACTTCGCTGAGTCATATAACACACTCCAAGTGATCTTAGAAGAAATGGAAGATCATTGACTTGTTAACTTATTGTTGTTCCTCGTAAAAAATAAATAGAAAAGAAAATAAACAAAAGAATAGCAAAGAAATAATTAATTAAAGATGAAAATGAAAAGTAGAAAGATGTCACCGAAAGTATAAAGAGCTTGAGCTGAGGCGTGGATCAATCACTCTCTTTAGGACGTTTCGTGCCACTGGTGCAGCAGATTTTTATGGTCACGCCGCCCCCAGGATACAACAGCCCAACCTCCTTGTTGTGTCTTTACAAGTACTGCACTCTTGTAAAGAAAGCTCTATCCCACCACCTTTTCCTTGATCAAAAAGAGTTTGAATACTATGTTTTTTTAGATTAGGAGTGCAGATTATGAAAAGAAAAATCCAGCCATGGAACAGACGGAGGTTGCCTTTTTATAGGCTTTCACACAGCATGACCATAGTACATGAGAAACTGTTAGAATTTGAAATAGCATTTTTCGGTTACAAAAAATTGAAATTGGTGATTAAAACAATTTTGAAACTGGTGAATGATTTCCAAAATGTTACCGGCTATGAATTAATGTTGCCGGTTACACTACTTGCTTTTATGCTTTAAGAAACGCACAATACCATTTCTTTTTAAAAAAAGCAAGAAGGCATGGGTAACTGACACAAAGTTGATTTAATGAATTTGTAACCGGTAGGAATTGTTTTTTGAAAATAATGGATTTGTAACTTTTTAATTAAAATCTCCAACATTCCCCCTCCATTTTAATTAAAAATAAAAGAAACTTAGAAGATGAAAAATATATAGGCAAGGATGGATTATTATGCATAATAGAGGTAGCAATGCCTTGAACCTCTATTTAGTGAGTCAATGATTCCTATCCCAAAGTCACTAGTGAGCAAAGTCTTGAACTAGGACTACTTAGAGGATATAGGAGACCATATTACACACATTATAATCCAGGTGTTAATTTGAGCTTGTAAGCCGGCACATTACGGCCTTTGTGCCTAATCCTGGTATTCATGGATGATCTAGAGAATAGCCCTATTCTCATAGGAGCGGCCCCACTCCGACATCCATATAGGTGAAATTTGTCAAGAATGCTCCAATAACTAAGAACCCCACTCTATAAGCTACAAATTTCATTAAGAGTGTAAAACTCAAACCTCAATACGTTATGGGATCGATGCATCCTCACCTTAGGAATGGGACCGAAAATTTTTTTTCGTTAAATATTGATACATCTTTCAATAACGACTTTTTTATGATTCGTTTTTCCCATTTGAAACCCAATTCTTAGAATTTGGGTTGGGTATCCTCATAGGAAGTTCTACATTATTGGGCTTGAATCCCATTCCCCTCGATGAGCACTAAACCTTGAACTATGATCATAGATTTTCCTCCAACTTTTGTTTGTTTTTTTTTTTTTTTTGGCCAAAGGCCTAGTTGGTGGTATAGTAGGTAACGAAGAGATTTAACTCATTCTTATTCTCACTTTTTCACATCAACCCACTTGTTTGCTAGCTCATAAAATTTACATCCATATTTCTCAAATTCTTGATTCATGGTACCACAATTTTTTATATCGAGCTAGTGAACCACCTTTTTTCTTTCCATACATGTCAAAACATGTATTTAATAATTTTTAACTCAAACATCATTGTACCTTATTGTACAATAAGAATGTCCATCACATACCCCTTTTCTCAAGTGCCTTATTATTTTTTTCATTATACACCATTATACCATAGTTGTATAGTAGGAATGCATATCACATTTATTTTGTTAAGCACCATTATACCTTATTGTATAATAGGAGTGCATATGACATTTACTTTCTTAAGCACCATTACACCTTATTGTATAATAGGAATGCTATGCAAAATCTCAATTAGGCATCATTAGTCTCATCACCAATAATAATATATAGGGATATCACAATCCCCCACATTGGGAGCATCTCAAATATGTGATTATCATATTTCTCAAATAATTGAGTTCATGAAGAAGCTCATTTTGCTCACAAGATTTTTATAAGAGCATATTTGCTCATCTCACATTTTATCACCACAAAATGGCTTCTTGGTCACGTAAGCTTAAAGGTTTAACTTACGTTTCCGGAGTATATCAACCCAAATATCAAGTCCATTTTTTTTTTTCAAAATTGTTGCATGGACGAAATGGGGTAGCTCTCTTC